AGGCGTGATTTATTATTGGATAGTTTCACGTGATCGAAAAATTTTATTAGTATTTTGGTGGCGATCCAGGGGAAGTTGGATGATCGTCACGTGACAGGGAAATTTTTTGGGTGTAACTTTCAAAATATCGAAACTTGGGAGGGGGGAATTAGTAAATGCCTGAATTCCATATGATTATTTCATCACCCAACATACTTTATTGGGCACAATATATGCATATTGTTATATTATACATATGTACATATATAGTATAAATATACACTAAACAATAGCATGCATGTTTAACAGTTAAGATAAAATTTTTAATTCTAAATAAAAGTTCTCATGAGATAGCTGCACCCTGCCTTTACATGCATATATATGCACAATCACCCGAACAAAGTGTTCATCTATTTTCGGATTCGAAATCTTGCCTAAGTGGACAAAAAAATTACTCGAAACCAATATCTATTCCTGGCCAGCTTTAACGAACGTAAGTTCATTAATTTTCATATTGCGTAATGCAAAACCGGTTACGCTGTTTGAGAGTCCAAAAATGGACGAATACTTTGTTTGGACATATGAAAAAAAGGAGCCTATTATTAGTTTTCTATTTATCACTGTTAAAAGTCTGGTTTAATATTTTGAGCTGTCATAAACATGAGCGATGGTCGAAATTATACTCCTGTGTTGCTTCAGTCTTCAGGTGTTGAATTATGTTAGTTTTATGAAATTAATGTAATTTTAATAGAGTATTACCGATAACGACTTTGTGTTGAAAAAAATATAGTAGGTACCGCTTCAGCCGAGGAGCTATCCGAAAATTATCAAAAATTATTCCAGGAATTCTCTCGGTAAATTTATTTCTATTATTTTTATTATTTTATTTCTATTCTGTCTTATCCTTTTTTATATTATTAGGCTAAAAGCTCAGCACTCTGTCTTGAAGCAAGCAATCGTTAAGGTTATTCTCAATGATTAATTTAATTTATTTTTGCTTTTTATTTTTTAATTAAATTAATAAAATTAATTCATTTGCAACAGGAACATGAAATCAATATATCATTAAGAGATGAATGTAAAATCAAAGAACAAGAATTGCGTTCTGTATGTTAAATTAAATTCTTGATTTATTGCATTCATTTAATTTTGTGAGTTCTATTATACTGTATTTACATTTATCATTTTATGTAGTCACTCCAACAACTCGATCTTTTAACTTTCCACAATCAACGATTAACCAAACGTATTGAAAGCCTTCAAGAAACGAGCTCTGCGGTACATTTTTTAAAAAGTCTAAAATTCCATTTAAATTTTAACATGTGATAATTGAAGCATTTAAAATTTTATCACATTAGAAATCGTCACCCGGTTGGTTAATTGGTTCAGCAAAAAAAGAACTTGAAAGGACGAAAGTCCTTTTAGAAACTACAAGCGAAAAATTGACAACGGAAATCGATCGAAATGGTATAAAACTTTTTGATGCAGTCAGTCCTCCCTAAACGCACTTCCTTGAAACCATAGTAAAAAAGAAAAGCAAAAGTATGCACTGAGAGCAAACATGTAGAGCTTTTATAATAGGGTTTTATATTGTGCATTTATATAGAGCGTGCGCTTGGGAGGTTTTCTGACTTACTACGAATTATCTTTAAGCTTCACTCTGGTTCATATTTATGTACTCTAAAAGATTGTTATATGGCGTATTTTTTCTTCAGAAATTTTACACAAGGAACTTTATGAGGCCAAGAGTTTATACACTCAACATTCGAACGTTCTTGAAACCAAGATTTCAGAATTAGAAAGAAAGGCCGAAGAGCTCCAGGTACCCTCATAGATTTGTATTGTATTCGATCAGGTACGCATTAATTTACATTAACACGACTTATATAGATTGAATTAACAAGATCACATCTTGCTAGCGAAGATGCTTTGAGTACATTACGTCAAGAAAAACGTGAGCTTGATAATGAACTCGAACAAACAAAAACAGATTTACGCAAGTAAGTTTACCCTGGATTTTTTTTTTTGAATTATTACTTTATCTCTTTTTTATTATAATCTTTAATTATTATTGTAGAAAGCGTGAAATGAATGAACACAGATTGAAAGGAGGAGATGATGCATTGCGAGCTGAAATGATTGCACTTAGGGATACGTTGTCTATAGACATTGAGAATTCTTACGAATCACAGATGAATAAATTTAATGTTCGTAGCTTTTTGCATTTTTAAAACTAGACTCTTTTTCACATACTTATTTTTTTTTTTACAGGAATTGCAGGATAGAATTGATAACGAATCTAATGAACTTATTGAAAGCTTCAAAAGGTTGCAATTAAATGCCAGAGATTATCTGAAATCTCTCGAAGAGAAGGTAAGAATAAGTTAATCATCTTTCTTTAAATTGGTGTATCTTTAGCTAAATACAATTAAATGTATGATATAGTCGGAATCGTCTTATGATCTAGGTCCAAAGGTCAAAAATGCTAGTAAAGTATGGCAACAAAATCTACAAACATTGGCAGTGAAATTGGCATCCTCTCAAAGTATATATAAATAATTTTGTTTTTCTGTTGTTATCGTAAAGTCTTTAATTAACTGTTTTTTTTTTAAACAGATCGGACATCCGAATTAATGGCAGAAAAAGAGAAGCTTGTTAAAATGAATGAATATGACACAAATAGGGTTGCGACACTGGAAGCTGAAATCATTCGGTTAAAAGAGGAATTGAATATACAAAAAGTGAATATATTAGATTACTACATACGATTGATTGTATATTTTCTAATATTTCTGCGCATTTTCTAGAAACGTAGTGAAGACGATGATGTCGAAAATTGTGCTGGTAACAATGAAAATATTATTAAATGGAAAAATAATCGTGAAGTTCCTGAACAATACAATAACCCTTTATTTTATCAATTTCTGAATTAGCATCTCAAGATGAAGAAGAGGATGATGATGTTGAGGTCTTCTTTTTTTTAAAAATTAATAATGTGACGTTTTTGATGATGATAATTGTTACTAATGAAGGATAACTTTTATATAATAACAGTTTGTTTACCCAGCTGACTCTGAAAAACAAGAAAATCTTGAATCTTCAGGTCAATCAATCGAGAATGCATCACATTCAACAACCATTATTACTGAACAATCAAAATCTGCAACTGATACTGACGCTAACGCAAGCCATAACGGTAATTTAGGTGTTAATACGTTGGAACGTGATATAGGGGTAAGTAATTAGAAATGATACATTTTACAGCAAATGTCATAGATCTCTTTTTTTTTAATAATAAATTTTTTTTTTTTTATACAATTAGCGTTCTTCTAAAAACGAAGATGAACGAGAAACACTTATCAAAAAACATTATGAATTTAGAATAACCCAATTATCAGAACAGGTTAATTATGTTTGATATACTATAGAACATACGAAGTATATTTAATGCAGAACTCAATGGTTAACTCTCTATGTTTGTAGTTACAATTAGCGGATAAAAAGTCGGTACAATTAAATAAATCCTTAAAGGTCATTCAAGACAAATTGGCTGATTCGGAAAATCTAAAATTACGGTCAGAACAGGAAAATGTGAAATTGCAAAATGAATTGTCTCAGCTAAAGGTAATTTATTAAATTTTGGTGCATTTTTTCGGTACATTTTCTTGACTCATCTTAAAATATTATTAGGAAAAATTGAACGAAGAACGTGCAAATTATGATAAACAGGTTAAGGAAATGGAGGGATGGACTCAGCAACGGGAAAATAAGATTAAAGAGTTAAATGATCAATTAGTAGGGTTTGAAGCTGGAACTTCACGAAATGAATGAACAATATTTTAAAGTTTTATTTGTACATTATTACATTGTATCTATATATGAGTAACAACAATTTAAAAAAAATTGGTTTGTAAACAGAAAATCAATTTTTACTAAATGAAGGTTTCTTTTCTATACACGTTACTTCGGATATATCGACAATTTTTTTTCATTAGTAAAAAATGTCGTTACAGTGAGTGACATTTTATACATATTAAAATTTTGAGAAAAATGTCGATATAGAAAGATTTTACTATGATGTGTCGGTATAACTAGAGTGATGTGTATTAATAATTGTTATAGCTGATGCTCAAATTTTTTTAGAATTATTTGAGAAAGTCATTTATAAATATTTATTAAAATACCTGATTAATTATAAATACAGTATTTTTGATAAGTATTTGAAAATTTTTTATTGCGTACGTACTACTACTGTATAGCAGTATGGATATAAATTTACAAAGCTACATATTATACAAATAATTATTGGTGATTATTACTGATAATTTACAATACATAATTAGATACAGTACAGCAGTATATGTACGAAATAGTGGATTAACCCTAGGTGCCGCACAAAAAATGCGCGGCTAACGGCTGAGGATCTTCAAAATTTGGCCCGCATTACATAATTGTTTACTAATTTCCGGCCGGAATTAACTTTTTAATTTTTTCATTACAAAAATTTTTAAAAAATAAGCCTGCATTATGGTAAAATTGGCCCAGGAACAATTTTCACTTAGTGGGCGGCTGCAATTTCATTAATAAAAATAATAGAAATAAATTTACCGAGAGAATTCCTG